TGCATGTGCGTGCACACACACACACATATATGTATATATATATATATATATAATTCATATGTTATTAAACAAGTACAATTAAATGTTATAGATATGTTGAAAAATCAGATGTTATACTCTTACATCTCGTTTGGTTTGTAGGATTAGAATTCTATTCAAATCCCATGTTGGTTTGAAAAGTTTCATGGATTTGAAATCCCGAGATTTCATTGAAATCCTATAAACATAAGATTTTGTGTGGATCATATCCTATGTCAATGATTTGATGATGATCCTCTGTACTTAGTAATTAAGTTATTTTGTTGCTCTAACTGAAAGCATACCAACGATTGAGTCTGTTCAGTGTTCGCCGAGTATTCCAACTGTTTTAGAACTTAAGTTTTCTCAAGATAAGACTCACATAAAAGAAACTTCAACGATGTCAAAGAAGTAGCTGAAGTTAAAAATAGAAAGATTTGAAGCAACATTCAGTGATACAACTTATCTAAAGAAATGTGAAGCTTTACTCAAGTGACCATCAACAATGAAAGAAGTCTTTAGTGCTTTTCCCATCGCTGAATCAAAATCTTGTATCAAGCTTTTGTCTTTTTCCCTCTTGATCATGGTTTGTATTTAAAATTGTATCTCCCTCCTCTCTTTCTCTCTATACACACACACACACACACACACATATATATATATATACACACACACACACACACAACATAGAGAGAGAGAGAGAGAGAGAGAGAGGAAAGTTCAGTTCCAAACATGTTTTTCCGTTGTGAAAAGGGGAACATACGAGAGCACAACACATGTTCCCATTCATCATGAATAATATACATGGATTTTTTACAACATTCATGATTGATGTGATATGATATGATGAATATTGCACCATTTATGGTAATATCTCGTGAGTGTCCAGGACACATGGCGTGATCTCGTTTATCCCCACAAAAATTAGGTTTACAACCTAGCATGCCCATATATATACACATACATTGCATGCATGATGTTTCATGCCAAGAAATGAGAATTTAATGCTTTATATGGCACTAAAATGGGTGAAAATTTTATGGGTATTTCCTTTATTAAAATTACAAAACCTATACGTAAAGGATAGTCCATTGGATGTATTCATGTGATTGAATGGGACTTTCGGTGGGTCGTTTTTTTGTTGTTTGTAAAAGATAGTGTGCCCATTTGCATTTAAAAAAACTGGAAAATTCAAGCATCTGTTCGAGTTCAAAAAAGTGCTTTTGATATTAAGCACGTAATCCATGTATGAATTGATGTTTTGGCACGAATAATTGGAACATGTATGTTATAAGTTCAAATAACATATTCACTCGGATTCGAATTATGTATAAAATATGTAGGAATCTCAACGGTGCATGTGATTGACAATCGGATGAACATGATAAGGGTCAAGAATCTTACCGGGTAAGAGCGATGAGAAGGATGAAGAGTCTTACCCAGTAAGTGAAGATGTTGATTATTACCCAGGTAAGCGCTTACCCTATAAATTGTTGCATTCGTTACGTTTTGATATACTAAAATCTTACGCATCAAAATAAATTATAGTGTTGACTCCTATCGGTAAGCACTTACCGAATAAGTATTTAGGTAAACAACCCCTTAGTCACTTTGACTATTATTTACTCTTTTTGGAAATCATGAATTGCGATACTAATATATTACAGGATATACAAATATTTCTAATTATAAAATGTAGAGGTTATCAACGAAAATAATCCATCATTAATGTGTCGATAATTCATTATTTTATGATTTATTTATCAAAGTATAAATTTATGTTAGCAGCTACAGGTCCCTCGATAATCTGTGTATTTTCTAATAGCGTAGGCCGAATGACTTTTGTTTCAACCTAGCCATTGAACCTGAATTCCTCAACTTCCCTTTAACTTTAGACATTTTTGCGTGTTTCGGTTATTTAGTCTTTGATACAGTGAAGTGGGGTATTTCCATCAATCACGCCTTATTTCACAGAGCAAAAATTTCAATATTCTAATCATAATTTTTATTTTTTGGTCGAACCTCTCCAAAATAGCAACGTTTTATATCAAAGATCATCTCGTATATGCTTCAAGCGTATTTTCTAATTCAATATTTTTCTTAAAATCCCGTTTTATCTATATTATATTATAAAACATTTGATAAAAACTTTTAAAAACCATTGTTTATGCATAAAGTACTGATTATTGATGCATATTACTTAAAATTTAAAATTAAAAGTAGATTGTGCGTAATTATAACTTATTTGTAATAAACTTCAGGTTTGAATTCGTATAACTAACTATAGATAAAGATAATCATATATAGAATAAACATTTCATTTTATATAAAAAATATAATTAAGATAAACATTGAGTTATAACATAATACTTAATTATTATTTTTATAAAAAAAATTATTGTTATTAAACCAAAAATAAATTACTTTGTTATTAAATTTAAATTAAATTAAAAAAATGGATAAAAGAAATTAAAAAAAAAGAACTTTTAAATTGTTAATTTGATAATAATATCGACATAATTTTTTCAATTTTTTATTATATCTTCAAATTAATATTTTATTCAAAAATAAAAACATTATCGTTTTCTCAAAACCACATGAAATCGTATTATAACATTGACAGAGACAAGCTCGTTGCATTGTGCAAGTACCATTCTAGTTTACTTAAAATGTATATAACGTGCTTTCATCTTGCATCGCTTTACCATTCAAACCATTCAATCATTCAAGATTTATGGGTCATTTAACAAATGTTTATTGGCATCATTAATCAAGAAAAAAAAATCTTACATGATAAACACTTATCGGGTAAAAGACATTTATCAACGATTCATTTTGATGACCGAAAATATTACCCAATAAAATAAGTTAAATGCTAAGTATTGCCAATAAAACTCTTATTTAATCACAAAATCTTATATCAACCAATAATCCCACTTAGGTGTCGTTTACCAAACACTTACCGGGTAAGTGCTTACCAAGTCACTTTACTTTACCGGATGAATATGATAAAGACTAAAAATCTTACCCGGTAAGAGCGAAAACAAGAATCAGGAGTCTTACCCGGTAAGTGAGGACGAGGACTCTTACCATGGTTAGCGCTTATCGGGATAAATTGTTGCATACGATGCGTTTTAGTAAATAAAATCTTACACGATAAATAAACGATAATATTAAATTTTACCGATAAATGTTTAACAGATAAATGTTTAGGTAAACTCTTCCTGATCGGAAAAAGAGTTGATGGATCATGAAGAAAACAGGAGTCAACATCAACCATAGATTGTCTAAGGAGACAACCACTAACCATATGGAACATTAAGTCAAACACTTTAAACCCCAACATAAATTAAAGGACCCAAAAATACCCACCCACCAACTAACATATGTGCTTCCTAATCATCACTTTTATTATTTTCTCAAAATACAAATATTTGTAATATAAATCTTTTTAAAACTAAAACTAAGGTGACGTTTACCAAACACTTATTTGGTTAAGCGTTTACCAAGTCACGTTATTTTAACGGATTAATAAGACAAAAACCAAAAACCTTACGCAGTAAGAACGAGACAAGGAACAAGAGTCTTACCGGACAAGGAAATGAGACGACTTTTACCACGGTAAAAGCTTATCTAGTAAATTATTGCATATAGAGCTTTTTTTCAGTAATACAAAATTAGGAGGAATTTTCTTTAAACTTCATATCTTTCTTGGTTGCAAAAAGAACTACAAGTAATTATTACTGTTTGGACTTTTAACCAAATATTAATCTTAGATGAATAAAACCATATGAAATAATATATGATATACTGGTTATCAAAATTATCACATTTTTTATGTTTTCAAAATAAAGAATAATTGTTATTGTATATTTGTTCTTTATAATATTTCTTTATTTATATTTTTGCCTCTCACATTTCCAATTCTTTTTAAATTACTTTGATATATTTATTAGCTCTTGTACAACAAGAAAATATTTTTATCAAAATTGAATTGAACTAGAAGAGATGTATTTTAGGTGGTGTTTGTTTTTTATGAGGTGCTGAAGTCTAAAGTTTGATTTCACTTCTGATTTATAAGAGGTGGTCTGAAGTCTGAAATCTAGATTGGTAAGATTGTTTGTTTTTACGTCTGAATCCTGAAATTTGAATCGGTCAAACTAGTTGAGAAATATCAAAGATGAATAGTTTTTTACAAAAATAAAAAGGATAAATAGTTTTTGCTAACAAATCTTTCCAACCCCCAAAATTTGAACCATTTGATAGAGGGCGGATTAGTATTAAGAGATACGTTTATCATTTGAAATTTCAGAGGACATTTAGAACTTTTAAGCTCTTATTTTACAAATAAAACAAACGCTCTTAATATCCAAACATCTGAACAAATCAGACTTCAGAGATATTAAAAGGTAATTTTGAAAAAACAAACAGACCCTTAAAGTTTAAGATGGTTTTTAATTATATGCTAAAAAAAGATGTGTAACCCTCCCAAATGATGAAAAAGTCCACATGATACTTCAAAGTTCAAACACTACTTTTCTAATTTCTACATTGGATTGGGCTTATCCATATGGCCCAAATTATAGTCCACCTTATACAGGCTTAATGGAGAATCAGTCATAGACTCATAATGGCAAAACCGAAACGATTTTCGCAAAGGGTCCTCGTTAACCGAAACCCAAACCGAACAAACCGGTTAATACTGTATTTGTTATAGCGAAAAATATATCATAGATATCTTTAATTCATCATTTATTACATGCGTTAGGAGCTATGTTATTTTTCTTGTAACAAATATGAATTACTAAACATAATAAGATATGTATTTGGATATTTCACTGGAATTCTGTAATAAGTTTATTGGACATTAATGGTTCAAGCGGATTTTTCTAAAGAGAATATGTATTATGGGAGTATGTGAATCAAACTATTGATTTGGTAATTCGGGTTTTACCGTAAAACCAATAATGATATGGAGAATCTTACTGTGGAAACGCCTCGATGATTGACAGAAGTGCAGGAATCTGGATAATATTGTAACGACAAAAGCCTCCTACAATTAGTAGCTTCTTCCATTCGCTTTCAGTTCGTTCCTTTCCGTTAGAAAAGAGTGAATACATCATCAGATCGTATGTAAAGCGTATGTCATTGAAATAGTCATCTTTTGTGGAATGTTGAACAATTTCCACAATAACGACTTTCCCGGTTTCCTTAGATATTGCTTTTCGACAATTTTAAAGTATCTTGATGCAATCTTCATCACCCCAATCGTGCAAAATCGACTAAAAAGCAAAGAGTAATATCCTCTCTATGTGTCATTTTGAATGACGTACCACCTTCTTTAATGGATCGATTCAACGCGTGCATATGCAATTCCGTTATTGGGTTCGTCCGCAGCATAACCATGGGTGCCAATGTCGCATTTGTGTCATATAACCACCACTTAGAACAATAGTTTAATGAGTAAGCCTTTTCTCCCTTTTCATTTCTCTTTTCTGGTTGAGGCATTTCATCAAACACCTTTTTGTGGACCAAAAACTTCACGAGTCTTCCAAGCCCATCCATGTTAGGAGAGCCAATAGCAGTGGCGATTTCAGACAACGTGGTTGGACGACCATGATTGCTTATTATGTCAGCAATACGAAGCTCAACACAACATCTAATAGCCTTGCCATCAATGTTACCGTATAGGTACCGTCAAATTTGTGCCTGACCTCTTAAAGTCGTGAAAAGGATATTTAATGTGAGAAAAACAAACCTTAGGAAAGGAGAAAAAATATCCTGACCAAATCATAGAGTGTTTCATTTTTTAGGTTTCATTACTGATCTTTTTAGATTTATAATTAGTCATATGTTAGGTTAACGACTGGTCACATTATGGATTCCTACCGTAAACCAAAAAGAATACGCAACGACATGGTTACCTTTACCTTTGGTAATGATTATTTATTTATTTATGAGCAAAATGCACAAAATAACAATCTACGTTCATAAATTTCTTTATTATAACATTGTATTTTTAGTTTTTCTTATTACAGCGATGTACTTTCAAACTATTTTTTATTAGGACATTGTACTTTGAAAAATTTACTCATTATAGCATTGGGTAACCTTTTGATTTAAATTTACCTATTATACTAGGTTTTCATGCCACCTCATTGTCCACGTWGGCTGTYCACATGTACTATAGTGATGTGACTTTCTTACTACATCATTGTACTTTCAAAATTATTTTATCATAACATCTACTAATTCTTATTAAACACTTTATTTTCAATTTTAATTTTTAGATATTTTACATGTTATTTATTAATATACCAATATTAATAAAACTAGTAGAACACAACTTATCTTGCTAATATTTTTTAAAAAATATGTGTTTTTTGAAAAAAGAAAAATAAGAATTGTTCTTTTTTTACCAAAAAAATATTATCTTTTAAAGAATATATTATATTTGTTCAAAAACTTTTTACTTGACATATTGAATTATTTATCAATATAACAATATTAAAAAATTATACATAACAATTTATTTCGTTAATATTTTAAAGAGAACTTTAAATGATATGTATTTATTTGAACAACATAAAATAGGAAAAATTACATTTTTTACAAACAAAATATATCTTGAAAACAATGTTTCATATTTATTTAATAAATATTTTACTCCAAGAATATTTAATTTGAATGAAACTTAATAAGGAAAAGTTAAAAAAAAATGTTTTTTTAGATCATAACAATGAAAAATGAAAATCACTAATAATAATTTGAAATAGGTTTTTATTTTAGTTTTAGTTAAGTTATCAAAATGATGTGTCATCTACATCACCTCACTAAAGCCACACAAGCAAAAAAGTCAAAGGGTTAACCGGTTTAAAAGGTAACAGGTTACCCCATTGCTATTATGGGTAGATTTTTTAAAGTACAATGCCTTAATAAAAAATAATTTGAAAGTACATTGCTGTAATAAAGAAAAACAAAAGTAGAATGTTATAATAAGAAATTTTATGAAAGTAGGTTGTTATTTCATGCATTTAACCCTAACATCTAATCAAGTAATGAATCGTAATCTATCACTACAAAACAAAGAGACGTCATTAACAGAAAAATCGTCGGAGAAAATGTGGCTGGTGATTATGATTACCGATGAATTACCAGCGAATTTTTAATTGACGGCGGGAAAATCCGTTGGTGATAATCAATCCGTCACAAATTCGCCGGATTATCAAAGGAAAAATCCGTCGGTGAAGTCCATTTGTTTTGTAATGATATATTACGAAAGTTTGTGAATTATTAAGGGAAAATTGCACCAAAATGAAACCAACTTGCACCTGATTCTTATTTTGGGGAACCAACTTTCAAAATCGTCATTTTGGGGAACCAACTTGCATCTGATTCCTATTTTGGGGAACCAACTTTCAAAATCGTCATTTTGGGGAACCAACTTGCACCTGATTCCTATTTTGGGGAACCAACTTGCAAAATAATTATCTATACTATCTTATTAAGCAAATTTAGCAAAAGTCTTAAAGTCTTAAAATTCTAAATGACCAAAATACCCTTTATACTCATTTTTTCACTTTTTCACCCCCTTCTTTCCTCACATACACTCACCCTCTCACATACACTCACCATCTCACAACCGATTTTTTTAAAATTATAATTTTAAATTTACACTTTATACCCCTATACTTAATTAATTAATTTACTTTATGTCCTTTACTTTTAAATGTTTCATTTTAAACCTTTATCAAATTAACATACATAATCGTATATCAATTAAAACATGTTTAAAAAATACATTTTTATTTTAACAAGTTACACCATTATAATCGTCTCGTTAATACCTTCGAAATGAGTCCAATATTGAATAGTTTTTGACTTAATTATATTTATATATTATATACTGTGAAAAATATTTTTAATATTTACGATTTATATTTTTATAGTTATGTATTTATATATATACTATATATTTTGGGGTTAGGCTATCCAAATTGCACTGTATAATATGTTTTGAATTAATATGTTCTTGGTTTTTTTGAAATATATATATACATGTATTAATTCAACCTTAATCTGAGTTTCTGGACAAGAAAGAGGGTATACAGTTGAAATTTCATTCTAAAACTCATCTTTTTTGTCTTTTCATGGCTTATGATCTGTCAAATTTATAGTTTTTTTTTATTGGTTTTGAGTGTTTATCTTAAAACTCAAGTTTCTTTGTTCTTTGCTCTTGGTGTAAATCGAACACATTTGTGGAGTCGTTTAAATATGTTGGATTTTAAATATATTGGATTTTAAATATATTGGATTTTAAACTGTCATACAATTTTTTTCATTGATAGTCTGTAATTGGAACCATAATTCTTATTTATTCAAATTGTAAGTTTCGGGAATATCCCCATTCATAGGTCCGAGATCTACAAAAATATTCTCTTAAACGAAGGTATTCGTGCTTGGATGGCGACTCAAGATCAGAAAAAAAAAGGGTCCGAATCTCCTGCGGGAATGATTTGGAAGAGCCAAAAGAAGTTCGACCCCCTTCTAATTTTTCATTTTTTTTCTTATATTTATTTGGATTTTGATATATAAAGACCAAGTGTAACCTATATCATCGTTAAATCTTATCTTATAAAATCAGTGGAACTTCAAAATCGTTAAAATTCATGACTCCCGCCGCATTGCGCGGGTACACAACTAGTAGAAAAATAACTAAAATTACTTTTTTTTTTCCAAAATTTAATGCAATAAAATCTATTTTTTATTTCAAATCTCATTTTTTTTAATTCAGATATCAAATTGAACATTTAAAAAAAATTCAAATTACCACAATAAAAAATTGTATTTTACTAATGCAAAAAAAATCAGTTTATTAGAAAAAAATTAATTGATGCAATTTGGATATTTTTTTAAATGTTCAATTTGATATCTGAATTAAAAAAATGAGATTTGAAATAAAAAATATATTTTATTGCATTAATTTTTGGAAGAAAACGAATTTTAGTTATTTTTCTATAATTATTTTGCAAGTTGGTTCCCAAAAATAGGAATAAGGTGCAAGTTGGTTCCCCAAAATGACGATTTTGAAAGTTGGTTCTCCAAAATAAGAATCAGGTGCAAGTTGGTTCCCCAAAATGACGATTTTAAAAGTTGGTTCCCCAAAATAAGAATTATGTGAAAGTTGGTTCCATTTTGGTGCAATTTTTTCAATCTATATATATCTATAAAGCAAAATCATGATAGGTTGACGTGGCATCTCCTCGACGCAAATATCCCATTTTTCTCTTTTTTCCACATTTTGATTTTTTTTCCTTAGTAATTTTGCAAATTAATGTTTACATTTAACTCAAAAACTCTTCCCTTTCTCTTGGTACGTTTCAACTTCAATATTTAAATCCAATTAATTTTCACATTTAACTCAAAAACTCTTCCATTTCTCTTGGAACGTTTCAACTTCAATATTTAAACCCTTCAATCTTTGGTTTTTTTTCATTTATGTGTTCTCCATCTCCATGTACGAGCTTTAAACTACTGGTACGCTCTCCATCTCTCATCTATGGCAGAAATTAATGTTTACATTTAACTCAAAAACTCTTC